CTCTGTATAATTGTCCTAAATGTCAAACCTCTGTGTAGCTACACCACTCATCTTGCCCCCATGTAAAACAACATGTTGAGGATACATCATTATCTGCACCAGCAACAACGTTGAATATCAAGCACTTCGGGCATGGTCGGCATATTATCTACAGTTCATTTATCTGGCACTCCTGGCAGACTCTCTCAAACAAAAAAAAGGGGAGAATATTGGGCTATTGGCCATGCATCACCAGCTGGCTGCACACGAGGCCGGCTAGCAAAACAGCTAGCTCGGCTGGAGGATCTCTGTGGGCTCGCGCCGGCTGCTGGTGACCTAGCATCTGGACCAACATCCACACCATCGGAGGACTGCAGGACCGCGCCGATGGCTAGCAGTCTAGCGGCAGAGATCCATAAAACACCAGCTTGTCAGGGTTGGGGAAAAATAGGACCCAAATGCAGATTGAGGAGGAAGCAGGTTTCAAAAGGAAACAAAAGGCGAGCTTTATTTACAAAAGCTGAACAAAACAAGAATCCATGAACAGGTACGAGGCAGCATCCAAACCAAAGGTGACTGTGACCAACATGAAGGAAGACATGAAAGACAAATAATGAACCAACACCGAACACAGGAAGAGACAAGACTAAATACAGGGAGGGGTAATCACGAGACAAGAAACAGCCGGGCAGGGAAGGAGAAACACAAGGGCAACAGGTGAATCAAATCAAATCAAGTTTTATTTATATAGCACATTTATAAACGATTTTTGGTCGAGCCAAAGTGCTGTACATATAATAAAAATAGCCTACAATAGAGACACTTTACAGCTAATACAACAGCACAGATTGTTCAGAATATCAGAATGAGAAAAAACGACACCCTCTGTCCTTAGACCCTCTGTCCTTAGACCCTCACATCGTACAAGGAAAAACTTCCAGAGAAAACCCACAGTTTAAGGGGAAAAAATGGGAGAAACCTCAGGGAGAGCAACAGAGGAGGGATCCCTCTCCCAGGACGGACAGACGTGCAATAGATGCCGTGTGTAAAGGTGAACACAATCAGACACACCAGGGAAACTAACTATAGGGAGGAAGACAAGACACAGGGAGAACAGAATTGCAAAATAAAACCATGACAAGACAGACCAAACAAAACCGTGACATAAAACTAAGATTGTGACACAGCTAGCTTTGACTGCTCCACTGTCAACAACGGCACCGAGGTAAAGCCTAGAAATCCTGTATTTAAAAAACACTGTTGCACACAAATGTTTCAAACAGTGAATCAAGCTAAAATAGTGTGGGATCCTCGGTGCAAGCCGAAGGGTCTATTCGGTGGACATTTAAATTTCCGCATTATCTGCAATAAACATGAACAGCTAGAACATCTCCTCCTTGAGTTCAATATTGACTGTTTGGGAATATCGGAATCTTGGCTAAAACAGTCGTCACCATCCACTCTTGTATCTATGCCAGGATATAATGTGTTTAGGAAGGACAGACTGAAGGGAAAAGGAGGGGTGTGTTGCTTTATGTGAGGAATACCTTTACTTGTAGGGAAATTGCACTCCCAGCTAATATTGAGTTTGATTGTGTTGGTGTGGAAATCACACTTTCTGAGGAAATGTCCCTCACCATGATTTGCCTGTATCGACAACCCACCGCTAAGGTGGATTTCTATGACCAGGTAAAACTCCTGCTGAATTCCTGTGACTCCAACAAAGAGCTAATTATTCTAGGAGACTTTAACATCGACTGGAATGACAAACAAAATAGAAAGAGCTTAAAACGGATCATGGATAAACACAACTTAATACAACTAATGCAGTGTTTCCCCTACCATTGTCTTGGAGGGGGCGCTGCGCCCCGCCAACGGAGCCCCGCGCCCCGCCAACGGAGCCCCGCACCCCCCCTGAAATTCAAGGTGTTTAAAAAAAAAAAAAATTATCATTTTTTTTTTAAAATAATTTTTTTTTTTATTATTTGGAACCAAATTGCAACTAATCTATATCTACTGTCACTTTTCACATTGAACATGTGCTCTTTTATTAAATAAACTAAACGCTTTCATTTTAAATTGTGAGTTTAGTGTTTTTGACCCCAAGAAACACTGATGCATTAATCAATAACAATAATCCACAGCTCCTCTCTCTGCTCCAGAGGATTAAAAAATATATATATCTTAATTGGGGGGACACTCTCTCCTCTGAAGACATTGGTGAAAACAGTAATCTGTTTATATCTAAAAATTAACGATGCAATGTCTTCCTTCTCAAGGAGAGGGTGCCTTAGGGACAGGAAGGAACATCATCTTCCCTGAATCAACAGTGCAGGAATCTAATGCAATCTAGAGACCAACTACTAAAGCAGAGCTTGAAATCCAGACTATCCACTGATAGACAGAAATCCACTCATGCTCGTAACAAGGTAACTCAAACAATAAGACAGGCCAAAGAAAACTTTTTCATCAACAAACAGGAAAACAGCTGTCTTCCTTGATCTCAGAAAGGCTTTTGACACTGTTGACCACCAAGTGCTCCTTACAAAGCTGACTTATTTAAATTTTTCGGCAGATTCAATACAATGGGTTAAGTCTTACTTATCCAACGGAAAACAGTGTGTTTTGGTCAACGGTACCAAATCCCCCTACCTTGTCAACCCTGTTGGGGTTCCACAAGGTTCCATTCTTGGACCATTACTGTTTTCACTGTGCATTAATGACTTGCCTAATGTATGTCCTGAGTTGAATGTGCAAATGTATGCCGATGATGCGGTCATCTTTGTACATGGGAAAAACACTGAAATGATCTCATCCTGTCTCTCAAATGCTTTGGACAAGGTTCAACAGTGGCTGAACAACATTTGCTTACAGTTAAACGTACAAAAAACAGTATGCATGATGTTCAGTAAACGACCAGTCAAAATCGAAGGATCCAATGTGTTTTTAAACGGAGCAAAAATAGAACTAGTCTCCCACTTCAAGTATCTTGGAGTCATAATGGACTCGAACTTGACTTTTAAGAAACATATTAAGAAAGTATCCAATACCATTAAATTCAACTTGCAACATTTTAAACAAATTAGACCCTTCTTAACTGTCGATGCTACAAAGTCATACCTCCATTGTATAATTCTATCCCACATTGAATACTGTTTGACAAACTGGTCGTTTGCTTGTGCCACAAACCTGAAACCAATAGAACAGCTGTACAAGAGAGTTATCAAGAAAGCCTAATTCATACGACCACTGTACCACCCTTGAAAAACACAATTTCTTGAGTCTTTTAAAAGTATGTGTTTTTTTTATAAATGTTTACATGGACTGGTCATCAAGCTCAGAGACCTCGGGCTCAACAGCGCCCTCTGTGACTGGATCCTGAACTTCCTGACGGGCAGGCCCCAGGCAGTGCGGGTGGGAAACGTCACATCCTCCACCATGATCCTCAACACCGGAGCCCCTCAAGGCTGCGTGCTCAGCCCTCTCCTCTACTCACTGTTCACTCACGACTGCGTGTCCACACACAGCTCCAACACCATCGTGAAGTTTGCTGACGACACGACCGCCATCGGCCAGATCACCGACGGCGACGAGTCGGCGTACAGAGAGGAGGTCGAAAACCTGACATCTTGGTGCCAGGATAACAACCTCCATCTCAACGTCAGCAAAACCAAGGAGCTGATTGTGGATTACAGGAAGCAGCAGAGAGAGGGACACGGCCCCATCGCCATCAATGGGACTACGGTGGAGAGAGTCAGCAGCTTCAGATTCCTCTGTGTCCACATCACTGAGGACCTGACATGGACTCATCACACCACCACCATCACCAGAAAAGCTCAACAGCGGCTCTTCTTCCTCCGCAGGCTGAGGAGGTTCAACATGGACTCCAGGATACTCTGCAACTTCTACAGGAGAGGATCCTGACCTTCTACAGGTGCACCATAGAGAGCATCCTGACCTTCTACAGGAGCACCATAGAGAGCATCCTGACCTTCTACAGGTGCACCATAGAGAGCATCCTGACCTTCTACAGGTGCACCATAGAGAGTATCCTGACTGGCTGCATCACGGCCTGGTACGGCAGCTACGTAAGGCTTTACAGAGTGTGGTGAAAACTGCACAGAACATCACCAGGACAGAGCTGCCATCCATGGAGGACCTCTACTCCCAGCGCCTCAGGAAGAAATCCCTCCGGATTATAAAAGACCCCCATCACCCCAGCCACAAACTGTTCTGTCTGCTGCCGTCTGGCAGGCGCTACCGCACGCACCATCCGGACAAAAACCACCAGACTCAGGGACAGTTTCATTACACAGGCAATAAGACTATTAAACACCTGAGCTCTGCTAAGTGCCCCGATAAACATTCCTGTTATCATCTTGCAATCTACTTATTTTTATAAATAGTTATCACCGCAATAAGCCGTAATTAATTTTGTCTTAATGTACATTATTTAATTTCATATTCTGTTCTTGTACATATCATATTCTATTTACATGTATATAGGCTTTTTGCACAATTCTTTACTTTGTATTTTTGTATTTTATTATATATGTTGCATTGTTGGAGGAGCTCAGGTCAGAAGAATGTCATTGCCATTTCTACACTGTAGCTATGTGCATATGACAATAAAACCTTTGAATCTTTGAATCCTGCAGACAAATTGGCCTGACCTGGTTGGTGCTCATGGATTGCTTCTGTTTACTGTCCGAGACCACCAACCCAGCCTAAGTAGCCTTAATGGAAACTAAAAAGAAAATTCAGGCAGTAGGTCTACCTATAACAAATTGAACTTTATTAATAAATTGTAATCCTGCAAGTAATCCTAGTTTTTTATTTATTTAAATGTAACAGTAATCTGTATTTTTGTATGTAACTGTAAGGGAATAAAGTTACCTTTTTTTGGTATCCTGATTAGTTTATCCTGTTACATGTAATCTGTTACTCCCCAAGCCCGGTTATAGTGGCAGAAATCTGCAGTTGTGAAGTTGAATTTGATATTCCATATACAAATAAAGTACCTTGTAGCTAGAATTGTCTTGGTTCAGGTTGAAGTCCTGCTGTGGTCGAGTGTTCTGAGCCCCCTGCCAGTTCTCCAGCAGTGGGAGGATGCTGAGGGCGTTGTCCTGAGTGAGGGGCATCCTGGCATCCTGGGCCTGCTGGGGGTCTCTCACCGACACACACTGGGATGCTTCAAAGAGTGAGAGCCGGCACAGGGGCCAGTGTGGGCCGACAGCCCCAAATCCATCTCTGAAAGAGAGAAACTGGACTAACTCTACTCACAGATTTCCAGATGAGCCAGGGTGGAAACTATGGGATTACTGGCAGGACATGTCAGCTGTGGCGTCTGCCGCATCAGGCCATTTCCTGAAGAGAAAATAGTACCATGTCACATTAATGAAGTAGATAAAAATGTTAAAAACTGTCAAACGAGATGAATTAAAATTATTTTGTTCTATTTGTTACCATGCCAATCTTTGGTCTTTCTTATTTAGTATTTGAGTTTAACATCTACAATGTTCGTGAATAATCCATATTCACAGAATTTGTAATACTATGTGAACTCGGCAAGGTTGAGTACTGACCTGTGTACATACAGTCAGAGCTTTATTTATTGACCAAAGATGTTATTCTGATCCCAGCAGACAGAATGAAGATTACTGAGCGATTTCTCAACAGCACACCAAATAATAGACATTGTTTCTACTGTAAAACTGTTGGCATGTTGGAAACACACATATTGAAAACAGTTTATAGAGTTCCATGAAAAGTCAAACGTGTCCCTCTCCCGGTGTCTCCATCCGCGACACCAGACAACTGGGGAAAACAGCTGCATGCCAATTTAACCACTTTGGGCAAATGACTGACTGGAACTCCACAGTTTTATAACAATAGATGGAGATCTGTGTCTGTGATCAGCAACGTGTTGTCATAGAGATTGTTTAGGGTGCAATTTTAAAATAGAGTTCTCAGAAACAAAAATAATGTTGTACTATGGTGCATTATACACTGAAAAAACAGAAACGTTTACTTCAATTAAATGTATTACGTAAACACATTTCACATAAATAGGTTAGTAGAAAGCAAATATATTAGGTAATATAAGGTTCAACGTAATATTATTGCTCTCAACTAACCTACTACAGTTATGTGACATTTGTTGACATGATACATGTGATTAAAGTCACATTTCAGTTTTATCAGTGTAGATATTACAGGGTTCCTACACCCTTTTAAATTAAAATGTGCAAAATACAATACACAATACAACTTCATGTATGATCATACAATTACTGACAGATTATATTTGTATCATTTTTGAGAGCCATTCTGCGTCCTGAGCATTGTCTGAACACTAGAGGGGAAATAACCAACAGATACATAGAACAAAGCAATCGTCATAAGGAAAAAACATTACTGCTAACTTTATATTACTCAGCATGATTTAGTCCCATTACATTTCATTTCCCATCAACAGGGTCACTGAAGAATGTTGTCTATGAAGGGTTATAATGTGTGTTCTCCCTCTAACTGACAAATAAAGGCCTAAATTAGTATAGCACATTCAAAACTAATATTGTGCAAACAAGAAATAAATAGTTGTACTTGATGTTGGCTACTTGATGTTGTAAAGTTCAAATCAAATAACAGGTAATGTAATGCCAATGAATGATTCACATACAGTATAATTATGTGAGCCATTAATTCAGTATGCATATTAAAGAGGCCTGGTTATGCTTTTGGGGGGTTTCCCTCTCCTCTAGTGTGTCCAATAGGTGTTTGTGCATGTAAATGGTCTGCAAAGGCTAAAATATGTGCTGTGTTCCCTCCAGAGGGAGTTTCTCAGGCTCCCTCTGGAGGGAACCCCCCGGCCTGAAACGCCTGCATTTTGACTATTTTGTTATGTATTATGTAACATTCATATCTATTATGTAACATTCATGCTTCCATTAGCTAGTGCTCCATCATTGCACGTGATAGGTGGGGCAGGGCATCTTTAAGTGGTTGACCAATCAAAACAAAGCCTACCAGCTAACCAATCAAAGCAGACTGGGCTCTGGTTTCAGACAGAGGCTGAAAAGAGGTGCTGCAGCACAGGCAGTATGAGAAAAACAAAAGAGAACATGTCACAGAGACACTACATACTGATATACACCTGAAACTGTGCATAATATGGCGCCTTTAACACATGATATATGTGACCATTTCTATTTTGCAGTATGAGTTAAAAAGCAACAATTCATGCATAATCAGCAGTTAAATGTGACTGAAGGCCTATTGCTTTGGCTTGCTTTTTGAAAATGTCTTAGCACTGGATTAGAGTTATTTTGTCTACCCACTTACACCAAAACTAAAAAGTTGCTGGTCTTGCACCACTTTCCCACACTGCAATACATTTAAACCAACAAGGCTTGAGGATGGGCATAATAAACGTATGAACTTTAATAACTGATCTAGGTCTAAAGCACACTAAACCAGCAGAGTCTTTCAGGGGCCCCGCTCACAGTAAAGGGCTCCTATGAGAAGTGAGGAATCTAGGTTGACCCTTCATCTGCACGCTTAACTACAGACAGAGTGCAGCCACATCTGTGGCAGATATAGACAAAAATGCAGGCTACCACCAGACCACACTTTAATGACTATGCAGAGCTCGGGCTTCAAATAAACTGTTGGGCTTTGTGGTACCATCTGCCTCTACTATTCCTGTACTCTGCAACCAGAGAAAGCTGGGCCTGCCCTGCTCTGGCCCGAGCTGAACCAGCAACTGGAATAAGTGCAAAAAAATGAAAAGAAAGAAAATGCTGATATTTGGCAAACAAGTGTGTCTTATCACAGGTGGCTGCAATGAGCCTGTTTTGCACTGCACATTTCTTCAAAACGGGGTTGCAGGCTCAGTGGCCCAGAGATTTCTTTTGGGGGTGCTGTGGGGTAGCTTGACGTTTCATAGAGGGTGCTCAAACATGTAGGGTTTCCCATTAATGTACCGGTCGCTACAGTGGAATGTTCTACTGCAACAATCCCCACGCAAATACACAGTGTGACTGTTACAATGAAGGCTCGATAATCAGCTCACGGCATATAGGTGTAAGCAGGGGTAAAGTGCTATTTGTGGGGAGTGAACCTAACATAGGGGGGTCCGGGGGCATGCTCCCCCGGGAAGATTTTTTTTTTAATATTGAAGTTAAAAGCATCAATCTGGTGCATTTTGAGAGCAAAATTAAGAGATCTACAGTATGGATACATCTCTCAACATCCATATGAAACATAACTGTAAACAGATTTACTATTTCTTTATGGATATTTTACAAATCATTCCCCTTTTAAACTTTATTCTTTTTTTACTGTCATAAAAAAAGACCTGTTTTTCATTTATTCTCTTATTTTTGTATAATTATAATGATCATATAAGCGTATGCCTCGGAAATAATTGTTTACATTAATCGTGACCAAAACGTTTGAGACCCAGCCACTAGCTCGCTAGCACCAGAAGCTAACAACAACGAGCTCCGGTACCGGTGCGCTCTCTCTCTCTCTCTCGCTCGTGCCAGCCACATTTACAAGGATATCTATGACAACACAAGTCAAAATTGGCTCATCTTACCCCACTCTCCCCTATAGAGAGACACAAAGAAAATAGAACACTATCATATAAAATGATTTTATTTTAAGAAGTACACATTCAAGTTGTTAGGTAGCAGCAGTATTTATAAGATAAAATAAGTGTAGCACTGTAGAATGAAGTGTGGTATATAAGAGTAGTAAAATTATTATTGCACATAGTAACGTAAAGATCCCTGTTCAATAATGGATGGGCTAACTAGGAGTAGTATTAGAAGAAGATATTGCACATAAGTGTTGCTGTACAGTGGTTTCAGTATTCACAAATCTTGCCTCTGTTGGGGCTAAATGTAAACCTGGATCCACTCAGAAAATGCATTCAATGCATTTTGGCCACCAGAAACATCTACCGTTGTCCAATTTAGCAGTTTAGTGACAGCAATTGTGTTATCTAAAAAAAAAATTGTTTATAAATGTGATATATAAATAAAACTTGATTTGATAACACGGCTCTCTTACCCATACAGTTCACTGTATGTGTAGACATCTTTCCATTGTAGGAAGAGAGATGGGTACTTTCAGTCATCATCACAGGAGACAGACCCTGAAGACGGTGTTATCCATGGGCGTGGGAAGGGGGGTGCTGAGGGCGCTGTAGCACACCCTAGCGGCAGGCAGGGGGTGCGGAGCTCCCCTGCCTGAATTATTATTTGACGGTTATTGTTGCTCCCGCTGTGCATCATCTGTGTAATATGTAGCCACTAAATTCCACATTGTTGGCTACAATTCTGTAGCTCCGGACAATTCTACCTCAATAATATAATACATTAACCGTGCTTTACGTGAACCTCATCATGACACTAGAGAGGACGGCAGGACTGTAATTTCCAGTGTTCAGTGAATGCAACAGAGGCATGACACCAGACCAATCAGAGAGTTGCATGGAAATAAAAGTGTGCTTGTGTCATTCAAGCTCGGCTCTGTAGGTGTGTGTGTGTGTGTGTGTGTGTGTGTGTGTGTGTGTGTGTGTGTGTGTGTGTGTGTGTGGTGTGTGTGTGTGTGTGTGTGTGTGCGGAAATAGTGCATTTAGTGTGTGTGTGTGTGTGTGTGTGTGTGTGTGTGTGTGTGTGTGTGTGTGTGTGTGTGTGGTGTGTGTGTGTGTGTGTGTGTGTGTGTGTGTGTGTGTGTGTGTGTGTGTGTGTGAGAGAGAGGGGAGAGAGGGAGAGAGAGGGAGAGAGAGAGCGGGACCGGTGCCAGCAGCAGGGACCGTGTTGTTAGCATCTGGTTAGCTAGCTGCACTAACGGACATACGGAGCTGTTTGTTCCACAACAAGCTGGAGGAGAGCTCTCCTCTCAGACTGAGAGGCTCAGGTGAGCTAAAGGACTCTCTGAGTGTTTAGATTGTTAACTTTAGTCTAAGTTATCTCAGTGGGTCTCAAACGGTTTGGTCACAAATGATTGAAAAGATTATTTCCGCGGCACACCTTCATATGATCATTATAGTTATAAAAAAAACAAGAGAATAAAGGAAAAACAGTTATGAAATACTATATGGCAGTAAAACAAGAATACAGTTTAAAAGGGGAGTGATTTGTAAAATATCCATAAAGAAAAAGAACATCTCTTTACAATCACAGGCGTCACCTATTTCGCCCTTACAATAGTAACGTAGGCCTACAATTAGTTGTCAACACCCGTAGATGCAGGATTTACAATATCAAAACCTGTAGGCCTAGATATGTATACATACATTACAGTGACAGGCTACAGATTATTATCCCAATTTTCAGGACAAAAACAATCTATTT